GATGGTATTTTGATGGGGATTGCATAGAATGTGTAGATTGCTCTAGGTAGCATTGACATCTTCACAATATTTGTTCTTCCAATCCATGAGCATGGCACATTTTTCCATTTCTTTGTGTCTTCCTCAATTTCTTTCTTGAGTACTCTGTAGTTTTCTGAGTACAGATTCTTTGCCTCTTTGGTTATATTTATTCCTAGGTATCTTATGGTTTTGGGTAATTGTAAATGGGATCGACTCCTTAATTTCTTTCTTGTCTTGTTGTTGGTGTATAGAAATGCCACTGATTTCTGTGCATTGATTTAATATCCTGCCACTTTACTGAATTCCTGTATGAGTTCTAGAAGTTTTGGGGTGGAGTCTTTTGGGTTTGGAAACCAACTCATAACCAGAGGAAACAAACTGAGGGTGGCTGGAGGGGAGATGGGTGGGGGCTTGGGGTAACTGGGTGATGTAATGAGCACTGGGTGTTATATACAACTGATGAATCCCTGAACTCTACCTCTAAACTAATAAGACACTATATGTTAATTAATTGAATTTGGATTTCAAAAAAGAACCTATGGAAACTCATTTAAATAATAATCACAGCCAAATTTATGGTGCCCTTAGTATATTCCAGACTCTCAACTCAGAACTTCACATGTATTCACTCGTGATGAGACTCTTATGAAGCAGGTATTTTTAGAATAATCTTACGAGGTAAGTGTTTTTATGAAATAACTTTCCCAAGATCACAGACTAATCAGTGGCAGAGCCAGGACCTGAACACAGGGTATCTCTCTCCAGAGCCCTTGCTCTTTCAGCTGCCAAGGGAGAGCTGATTCAGCTCACCATACTCAAAGTTATGTATTTTTTTTCTATTTTAAATATGGAAGAAGTGTGCTATACTACCCCACCAAGGGGGAAAAATCTTGGCAGAACCACCTCTTTGAATCAGACACTCAACACCATTAAATTCCTCTATCTGATATCAATAACTCCATTTTTTTCCCTGTAGTGCTATTTGATTCTTAAAATACTTGATCCAGTTACAGACATCTACTTACATTTTGTGTCAGACACACAGGTAACATCTTATCTCCATGTCTCTTCCCAGATAACAGTTGCTTCAGTTTTCCTCCAGGACTAATGCACCGGGATCAGACAGATGAGAATTCTCAGAAACAGTCAGGTGATCACCCATCTGAAAGAGGAGACATGCTACTTACCCCAGTAAGGCAAAAGCACGAGCATTTTCTTTTCTTTTCTCTTCATTATTTTCCTTTCTTTACTTTTATTTTATTTTATTTGTTTTTTGGTTTTAGATGGAGCAGTGGTTTGTGCAGTGGGCCTCACTCATGTAACTGAAGATTCCCCAGTAGAGAAAAAGGACCAGGAGAAAAGGCCATATCACAAAAGGTACAGAAAGCCCAAAGAAAGCTTCCAAGTCCTGTTGTTGCCTTTCTTCCTTTTGATCCTCTCTCCCCATAGAGTGGCTTTTTTTTGAAAGCATACTTTTCCAAGTTATTACATTAACAAATTTGCACTGATTTCTTTATGCTTGTCATCTAAAGACCACCTTGTTGGCGGTTGGTGAACTTTTCCTTCACGCCAGCCCTGCTGCACTGTCTAATGTCACAAGTGTCTGCTCACATTAGCTCCCAGAGACTGGAGCAGATCCTGCATGGGGCCTTTCCAGCAAGTTGATTTGACAGAATGAGTCCCCATGCTAGCTCGTGGCACTTATCAGTTAGTCAGCCTTCCTTGGGGAGGAGAATTTAGAGTGCACCATATTCAGTTTCCAAATCAACGGCTGTCCCCTCAGGAAGCTGTGTGTTGCATTATTAAAAGAGATGCCTTTGACCACAGCGCCATACTTAAACATTCATCCACATTAAAAAAAAAAAACAAGGTAGAGTGGGGGGACAGCAAAACAACACATCACCCCCTTCCCTGTGTTAACTCTTTCTCCCCAGGTTTCGGGTCTCCCTCACTGAACAGTCCTGTAACCTTTATTGGTGAGCATGAACGCCTGTTATTTTTTTGTGAGCCTTGCCTTTATTTTAAAAGGAGTGCTTTTACATTACTTGGAATGGCTGTGAAACCTTCCCCTAAATTGTAAGATCTTGGAGCTGAGATCTCTCTATTCCCAACATCTGCTTTTCACTGAGCTCCCGTAGCAAAGTCAAATCCAAAAGTCTAGCCATCAGAAACAGCAATGACTTTGGTTTATCTGTTACCTGCCTTTCCCGGGAATTCAAATGAAATGCAAGAATTAGTTCTTAGTTGAAAATGAACAGATCTGAAGCTCACACTTTAATTATTATAACTTTGCATATTTCTAATTTAAAAAAAAAAAAAGTTTATATCCAGTTTACCTTTATCTTTCCAGAGGAGGAATTGACAAGATTGGTGGAGAAAAGGAGGGGTCCTTTTTAAAGCTTCATGTTGATATAAATATGAAAATGGATTAAACTCTGCTTCCAATTTCCAAACATGTGTACTTCAATGAATATTAAATGGCAGGCCCCTATCACCATCCTGACTTATTTACTCCCCAGAGTTTTTATCAAAAAGGGACTGGAATTGCCTGTGGAACATGAAAGTCTCCTGTAATTGAGTTTAGAGTGGTAAATCCACTAAACAGGCCACGGCCCCAGAGACACCCCGAAACCCACCTGTCAGCTGGTGTTAGATCACAGCGCAAACAAGGCATGGCTGCCAGCTCCTGCTAAACACTGCTGTGGCCCAAAACAAAACAAAACCAAAAAAAAGAGAGAGAGAGAGAGAAGTTACTCCCCAGGGGATGAGGAAGGGCTGGGGGCAAATTGTGGGGGTTGGGAGGGCAGGCGAGAAACTCTCATCTAACAGCTGCCCAATGTCAGCTGGAATCATGATCTGAAACTCAGCTCAGGAGGAGCACTGGCTAGGGCCTCATTCGGTAAGGTGTCATTTCTTTATCCTAATGTCCATTAGGTAGGAGCGTAATGGAGTGGACAAGAAGCTTTTTCATCGTGGTTGAGCCGTGGAAATCAGAGCTCAGAGAGTTTCAGTGAGAATAAAGGTTTAACTGGCTTAAGACTGGTGCAGAAAGGTCCACATCTGGAATGGAGGAAAATGTCCAACTAAGACATGTTGAACCAGACAGGGATGGGAATAGGAACAATGCAAGCTGGAAAACCATAATTCATCCGATAAACATTGATTAATTGTTTACTAGTGCCGATTGCTCAGTGTATAAAGATGAATAAGACATAGTCCTTGCCCTGAAGGAAAATGTATAATGTGCTTGGGGAAACACACAGACAAGTCAGCTATTGCAATACAGTGCATCAAGGGCTTTGGGAGCAAAAGTATGTGCCTAAAATAATAAGTTAGGGACAGGCCTATCAGGGGAGAAAGAGAAATCAAACGATCAAGGGCTTTATCAGCCTGGCTAATCAGTCTGAAGTTTATCCTGAAAGCCATGGGGAACAATGGAAGGATTTTAAGCAGAGGAGTGATGTGGTCAGGTTTGTGTTTTAGAAAGACCAGTTTACCTATTGTGCATAGCATGAATTAGAAGGGGCAAGGCTGGAAACAGGAAGGCCAAGTGGAAGGCAATTACAGGAGTCTTTGAGAGAGGGGGTGATGGCCCAAACCAAGGAAGTCACAGTGGAGATATCTCGGAGAAGAAGGGACAGAATGAGAAATATTATAGAAAAGAATCAGCAGGGCTTGGAAGGCAATTGAAAGTGGGAAAAAGAAGGGGAGGGGTTTCCGGGTGGCTCAGTCGGTTAAGTGTCTGCCTTCAGCTCAGGTCATGATCTCAGGGTCCTGGGATCGAGCTCCGTGCCGGGCTCCCTGCTCAGTGGGGAGTCTGCTTCTCCCTCTCCGTCTGCCTCTCTCCCCACTCATGCTCTCTATCTCTCTCTCAAATAAATAAAATCTTAAAAAAAAAAAAGAAAGAAAGTGGGAAAGGAGGGAGGAATTCAGAGTGGCTCTAAGGCTTCTGGCTTGGGTGTAGGGTTGCTGGATTTAGCAGATAAAAATAGATGCAATATTTGGGACATATTGATACTAAAAAATGATTCCTTTTTTTATCTGAAATTCAAATTCAATATTTAACATTTAATTCAATATCCAGCAAACCGACTTGGGGAGCTGGGTAAGTGGTAGGGTATCTGTCAAGCTGGGGATTGGAGGAGGCACTGTTGGAAGCAGAGGCAAAGAACATGATGAGTTTACACTTACTTATATTGAATTTGAGGTATCCAAGGGATATAACTGGGTTCCGATTATCCCCCAATACCTTTCTGCCCTTCTGCAAGGATAGTGGTCGCTGGCACATGGCCCCCCACCTAATGATTTTACTTCCCAGCTTCCCTTGCAGAAAGTAACCATATGACCATACTCCGGCCTGTGGAATGTGAGAAGTGATGTGTGTCTTGCTCTTAGAAGGATTGGGCATAGGGGCTCAGTTGGATAAGCGCCCGACTCTTGGTTTTGACTCAGGTTATGATCTTAGGGTCCTGAAATAGAGCCCCATTTCCAGCTCCGCGCTCAGCGGGGAGTCTGCTTTTCTCCCTCTCTCTCCCCTTCTCCCTCTGCCCCTTTCCTGTCTTATGCATGCGCTCTCTCTTTCTCTCTCCCCCCCCCCCTCTCTAATAAATAAATAAATAAATAAAAGAAGGATTGGGCATGAACCTCTCCTGCCTCTTTTCTCCTTTCCACTGGCCGAAAGATCACCAGCACTGAAGGAGCCAACATGGGCTCAGAGATGAAAATGTTGAAGGTGGCCGTGCCCTGTCACTTGCCCTGGGCAGTCTACCTCTGAATTTTTCCAGGAGGGAGAAATAAGCTTAGCCTGTACCTTAACTACAATACGACATCCAAGAGGAAATGTTCAGGGGTGCCTGGGTGGCTCAGTCGTTACGCATCTGTCTTCGGCTCAGGTCATGATCCCGGGGTCCTGGGATCGAGCCCCACATTGGGCTCCCTGCTCGGCGGGAAGCCTGCTTCTCCCTCTCCCACTCCCCCTGCTTGTGTTCCCTCTCTCACTGTGTCTCTCTCTGTCAAATAAATAAATAAAATATTTTTTTTAAGAAAGGAAGAAATGTTCAATAGCAATTGAACATAGAAGTCTGCAGCTGGAGAAAGAGGCAAGAGCTAGAGACCCGAGAATTGGGAGTGGTTAGCGGACACGTGCTGAATGAGGCTTTAGTTTAGACGAGGTCTCTTAGAGGGAATGTATGGTGAGAAGAATGAAGCACGACAAAGTCAAGTGCTGTCTTTTTTCTATGGACGCTTTTTTTGGGGGGGAGACACAACTTTAAACTTACCCTCAGGTTAATCGAGATGTTCCTATAGTAGTAGGATAGATGTTTGAGAGTTTGGTTTTCATTTGCCAAGCCTTCTGCCTCTGTATAGCCACATGTTAATGTTCGATGCTACTGAGTTCATTTGTTTGTCTTTGGATTTCTATTTCAGCAGTGTCTGGGAAGCAGGTGTGTTCTGGTGCCCTGGGGGCATTCGGGCATTTGTGCAGGGGGCTGGCTGTGCTGGGGTCTCTGCTAGGGTCAGTTTCCATGTGTGTAGTCAGTTTACATGGGTGTGTCGGCACACATGTGCATCTGCTCCTCTCTGTCCTGACTTGTCGATGTGTGCCCTGAGGATGTCCTTGTGTGTGTGTCTGTGACAGATGCTGCTTATTTCGGCTTAGTTAGTAGCCAATTCCCAGCACTGCCAAGAAGCAGTAGCCTTTTAGATTCTTCTCACATAGAAGTCTATTTTGTCCCAATTCTGTCCATTTTGGAGTAGCTTTTAAAAGATCATTTCAGGGGTGCCTGTGTGAG